CACGTACTAAATCCACCAATCAGAGCGCGTTACATCCGGTTTCGTCCAGTGGCTTGGTATGGCTGGATATCAATGAGAGTGGAACTCTATGGCTGTCTACAAGGTATTGGGATTGTGCATCCAAGTTTTACTGTGTTAAGGTCATTCCCCCGAAAAAGAACGCACAATAGATTTCCATTCAAATTTTGCCTGTTGGCTGCTTACATTAATAGAACTTAAATTTTGAAATAAAAAAGGGCGGTCGTGGTATTCGTTTAGGAGCAGGACGACCCTCAATAAACCCCATAATTCCTCAAATTATCTTCTTTTAGAAACGGTTACATTTAAACCACTCACTTTACGCCTTTTGAGAGCAGAAAAATGTCGTTAGGTCCCCGTACTCGTTTCCGACAAAAAACGGTCATCTGTCTCTCGCAACCCAAGCCGTTTAGAAAAAGCTACCATTTTGTATGTGCACGCGCTTACGAGCACGCGCTAATGACGCGAAAATCGTACGCAGTAGAGATGCGCAATGCAATTCTGAGGAATAACCTTAAACGGATGGATATTCATAAGAAATAGCCACAAGACCGTTTAAAATTCAGCTTGGCAATGAGGCTTAGAGGACAAAACAAAAGAAATTGAATGACCATGTTTATTCATTTCTTTTGTTTGTGTCCTCTAGGCCTCACTGTCAAGCTGAATTTTAAAGTGACCTATTCCCTCTATGAGACGCGCCTGCAGGGAATCATGGTAGTTGTATTCATTAAAACAAACGTTTAGTCTAAGATGATGAATACAACTCCCATGATTCCCTGCAGGTGCATCTCACAGAGGGAATTAGGCATTGGTCTGTTGATTTACTATCTCTTTTCCATTAAAAGAGGACTTTACACGAAAACAAATAGCAAAGGAAACATATCAGTTCTGAACATCATTTGATAATAATCGCCGTTGCATATTTGACGACGAAAAGAACACTTGCCTCAATGTAACTTCATAATAACGGCATAATAAAACATGTCTTGCATAACTCATTCTTTAATTCAATGTTATAATTATTAATCAGTGTGAGGAACAAAAGGTAAACCAACAAGACGATGTTTGAAAAAGAAACCAAGGTGTCATTTTCAGCGAGTAATAAATAATGATCAGGCCGTTTGCATCTTTAAAAGTTGCACCCACGTGATCGGGGAGTTTATGCAACTACGAGAGCGCCAAGGGCAACGCGCCATCTAAAACAGGAATTTATATTCTACGCCACGATTCTTAAACAATCAGATTCATTTAATTTGTCAATCACTCAGGGCTATACCAAAACTGACAACTGTAAAGAAGAAACCAAATTCCGTCCACAATACGCCGGTGGAAGATGAAAACATAGCTTTACTCCCTATGGCTAGGCCGGCCTACCATCTACACTAATCTGTCACGCGAAAACGGAGCTTTTCGAAAACTCTCTTCAAACCGGAGGAATTGAAAAACGCAGGCTTTAGTGTGGACGGAAAACATTTTGAAAACGGAGCTTTTCGAAAACGATGAAGTCAAGATAATCATATGATTTCCCTGACTGAGTTTTCCTCAAACACAAACCCAAAATGACAGGTGATTATTGGGTGTGCAAATTTCTCCGGCGTAGTGTGGACGGGAAACAATAGACGCGTTTCCAGAATGAGAATACCGTGTTCAAATTTCTCCTACGTAGTATGGACGGGGCCTTGAATAAAATCACCGCTTCTCCGGCCAGGCGATACAGAATTTTGTCATTTCACCGTGGTATTTTACACGAAAAGACTCAGAAATTAAGATTAAAATCGCACGCTCACAGTAGGTTTTACTGCTTATGAAACCTTTTGCTTAGCGCCGTTCCCGTTGCCTTTGTGGTTTGCTTGAAGTCCCTTTTACAAATAGAATACTGATATAATACACTCGTGAATCTGAGATTAAGAATAACGACGAAGAGGAAAATTAACGTGATGGCGTTTTCTTGTTCTTGTTGTAAATATTTCCAGATTCCTGCCGATCTCTTAAATTTGCCTCACCAGTCGATGGATTTGCTCTTGAGGGTCACGTGATTAAAAACATATCTTTACATACGGGAATGCGTAGCTCTTGCATAGGGCGATGTTCCATAGAAAGTAAATGTACGTCATTCAACATCGGTCCACAAATAGACAACCATGTCATGTGCCAGCTGAGCAATTCCGACCACATGAGACACCCTGGAGACCTCAAACCTAAGGAAGGGTTTACCTACAGAGCCACTGAGGTGAGGAATTCAAACGCAGCAGACACTTGTTTGATTCTTTTTTCTTTAAACTTCTGCTTTCTGTTTAAATGCGAGCGCATTTTGTGATTTATAACCACGCGTACGCGTGATATTTTTTGTCATCTAGAAATTCTGAAAATTGAATGGGCCTTTAGTCGAATACAATTTGAAAAATTCACGACATCACGAGTTATAATAAATCACAAGATGAACGAGCCTTTCACAGCTGGACTTTTTGTTTATAATTTTCTAAAAAAAAACAATTATAAGAAGAACTTTTTCCCAATTTTTTCAACAAAACGGTATTTTCCGCTGCTATCAATGTACTCTGCACGCGAAACACGTTTTCTTTTATTCGACCAATCCAACAATACGTTTCATTCCACCATGTTTGTGTAGCTTTTGGATGTTCTGCTTTTTTGTATTTTCTTTACGCTCTTCGACAAACGTTTGGTCTGACAAAGCAAAGTGATTGGCAGCCACTTTGATATTCAAAATAAAGGCTTTCCCGTTGTTTCCATGGCAACTTCTGCATTACAGTATAACCTGTCTATGGATTCGTCATTGACCAATCAGAAGCGGCTTATTTTGTTGAGTATAATATAATTCAGTTAAGTTACTGACACTTCAGTATAATTCCTTTGTTCTTCTTAGAGCCCATGCTCCAGTAACCCATGTTTTAATAATGGTACGTGCGTCCTGAAAGGATTAACAGACAAGAAATACGTTTGCATGTGCCAGACTGGTTATCGTGGAGAAAGATGCGAAATAGGTAAATCAAACAATAACAGCGTACCGTGCTGATCAATTTTCATTCGTTTGGTTGTTGACCAAATTTATATGGGTCGAAGTAAAACGTATTTATCCGAAGGGTAAACAATATGTACTTATTGACTGAGTGGGAGGGCCGGACGAGAAAATATTTGGCTCGAGGTCAGGACGTGCGGACCGAGCCCAGCGAGGTCCGTACTTTCTGACCGAGCAACAAATATTTTTCCGTCCGGCCCGACCTTACTCAGTCAATAATCATTTTATCATATGACCACTTGTGTTGAAAATTTTGAAAATTCTGTTTGAACCTAAATAGGACGCGATTACATAACATCAGACGGCCGCGCGCGGAA